AGGGGATGTGGGATATAGGATGTGGGATACGAGATAAGGGATGTGGGATATGGGATACGGGATATGGGGTGTGGGATTTGGGATGTGGGGTTTGGGATACAGGATGTGAGTTGTTGGATATGGGATACAGGATGTGGGATACAAGATACTGCATGTGGGATATGGGATACGGGATATGGGATAAGGGATATGGGCTATGGGATATTGAATACAGGATATGGGATATGGAAAACTGGGATATGAGGTATGGGATATGGGATGCAGGATATGGATGTAGGATAGAGGATATGGGATATGAGATATGGGGCACGGCATATGGGATTTGGGATGTGGGATATGGAAAACTGGGATGGCTGGTGGAGCAGGGGGAAGGGGGGACCCCCATCCCGCTCCGGGCTCACCCATCCCCCCCATCCCGGCATTCCCAAGTCCCTGGCGATCAAGACGGCGTCGCTGGCCGAGGCGGAAAACATGGCCGACCTCATCGATGGCTACTGCCGGCTCCAGGGGGACTCGGAGACATCGCTCCTCGTATTCCCGAGGAAAGGTGGGAATTCCTGATGGGATGGGATAATGGGATTCATGGGATCCATGGGATGGGAAAACGGGATCCATGGGATGGGAAAACGGGATCCATGGGATGGGATGATGGGATGGGATAGGATGGGATAATGGGATCCATGGGGTGGGATGGGATAATGAGATGGGATAATGGAATGGGATTGGATAATGGGATGGGATAACGGGATAATGGGACATTATGGGGATTGGGCAGAGTGGGATTGGGATGGAACGTGGTTGTATGGGATAGGGGTGGAGATGAGGATGGAATGGGATGGGATAATGGGATGTGATGGGACTGGGAAGGGATTGGGATGGGACAGAATTGATGGGATAATGGGATGGGATTGATGGGATGGGATTGATGGGATAATCAGATGATGGGATGGGATTGGGATGGGATTGATGGGATAATCGGATGATGGGATTGGGATGGGATGGGATTGGGACGGGACCTTTCCCTGTTGTCTCTGCAGATCGGGAGAAGAGGATCAGCCTCCCGCAGATCCCGGCCCCGTGAGTGATCCCCACCCTTTTCCCGGGATTCCCATCCCCCACACACGGGGTTGGGATCCCGCTCCATGTCCCCAATCCCGCTCCCTGACCCCCTTCCCACCCTCAGGAATCTCGGGGAGAGGCATTCCACGCTTTCCCACAGCGTCAGCGGGGGTGAGTTTGGGCTCTTCCCTCTTCCCGCCATCCCAGGGGGGCGGGCAGGGATTTGGGACACATTCCATGCGGGATTTGGGAAGGCTGGACACCCCCAAAGAGTTTTCCAAAGGGTTGGGATGCATCCTGGAGGAGCACCAGACCCTCTGGAGATGCTGCAGCTTCCTGATCCCATTCCTGCATCCCCGTTTTTTTTCCCCAGATTCCGAAATCTACGCTGAAATCCTGGATGAATCCTCGAGGCCAAGATCCGGAAGTAGGTGCTTCCCTTTGGGAATTCTCCACCTGGGGTGTCCCAGCTCCTCTTGCCCATCCCAAATTCCCGGCCCATCCTCAGCAAACCTCTCAGAAGGCCCTGGAGGAGCAGGGATGAGACGTGGGGCGGGATCCATGGATCCTTGGGATAATGGAGAGGGC